GTTGAATCCCATGCTGGTTTGTCCAAATGAGACACAATGGCTGGAACAATGGACTCAAACATAGGAACAATGGTGGGGATGGTGCAAGACCAGGCAGGGTTTCACGCTGTTGTACAGAGGGTCTCTATGAGTGGGAACCAACTCAACAGCATCCAACAACAACCACACCTGGTTTGTCCAGTGGGTTGCCCCACCTAGCATGGCAGCTTTAAGAATGGGTTGGCCTGGCAATTGTGGGAGAACATAGACTTTGCAATAAGCCAGTACTAGAAATCAAATTCAACTCTGCCTTTTTAGGTAACTTGGAAAAGGTATAAGCTCTGCAATCTTAGAATCTCCATCTATACAGTACAATGATGTTATCTTCCTGAAGACGCCATGGTGAAGGCCAGTAAATTCCCGAGCACAGGCCTGGCATGCAGACTGAACAAATGCTCTTTGCTCCTCCATTATCATCGAGGGAACTTAAGCAGTCTGCTTTTAAATATTACTGTTTTGGGCAATGGGTCTTACTCTCTCCAAATGCTCTCTTCCAAAATGCTCTCTTCCAAATGGATTTTCCTGCCAAATCATACTTAGACTAAATTAATTTTAAAATGCCAATAAGATTATACTGCGTATCAATTGATGGGGGATGAGGTGAATCTTCATGGCAAGATTGTCATGCACATTAAAAATAGCCTATGATATTGAGACTCCTACCTTGGTTTACTTTGCATTGAGTCCATGGTTTAGCTTGGACTTGAAGTCGTTGTTGTCCCTCATATTCCTTCAAGATCAAGGCTTCCTCATTTACCCTAAAAAAGTGAAAGAAAATAAACCCCCAAACTTTCCTCTAACTTTCAAAGAGTAAAAAAAAAATTATATTCCTTATTATATATGCCTATATAAAAATTTCATAATGAATTGTTCTTTTTTCAATCCTTAGGAAGTACTGAAGCCAACCCTTTACTAAGAATGTATCCCTTGTCTTAGTTGGATAATTTTGCTGTAACCAAATATACATATATATATTCCCACAAGATTGTGGCTTTAAAGAAGAGGATATTTTTAAGTTAATGTTTATTTATTTTGCTCCCTGACATTCTCTGAGAGATTGGAGGTACATAACAAGAGTGCTTACAATTCAAGAGAAAGCAGTGAAAACTTGCTTGAGCGAGATGACGAGGAAGAAAAGCAGGGAAGGAGGCATCACCCTATCTAAAGACAGAGCACACTGGCAGAGGAAGAACAGGAATTTCTTGTGTCAAGATTTTTGAGGCTAGAAGTATAAATCAAGACATTCACTCTAGGTTATTTCTTGTAAGTAGCCCCAGGCATTCTTTAACAGCTCTTATATAGTACTGTCTGTATTCTGCTTTTCTGTTCCGTTCTATTCGGGTGCTATTTCTATTTTGTTCTTATTATAAGGCAATACTCAAAAGGCATTAGTCTTAGGACCCTACCCCAATATGAAGATTCCATGGATAACAGAAGCAGTTAAACCCTCAGCTACCTGCTGTCATCAAGCTGATTCTGACTCATAGTGACCCAACAGGAAAGAGTGTAACTGGCCCATTGGGTTTCTCAGGCTGTGTGTATTTACAGAGCAGGCTGCTACATCTTTTTCCTGTGGAATGCTCTTGGGTTTGAATTACCAACCTTTTGATTAGCAACTGCGTGCTTAATCAGTCCCAGCTTAATTAAGGTGGCCACTTGAGCCCAACCAGAGCCTCTCCGAGTGTGACAACAGCTTTAGAAAGGTCTGAGTCTCGCAAACCCTCCGGAGCAGTTCTACTCTGCACACAGGATCGCTTCTGAGTCCGAATTGACTTGATACAAGTGAAAACTCCTCTTTCCAAGCAGGGCTCTCTTTAGAGGCGGGGCTAGGAGTTCCACATGACTTTTGGGTCTTTAGAGGGCGGGGCTAGGAGTTCCACATGACTTTTGGGTCTTTATAGGGCGGGGCTAGGAGTTCCACATGACTTTTGGGTGATACAGTTTTGGACTTGAGAAGGGAGGTTGCCTATTGACTAGAGGGGATGCAAGTGAAATTTTAAGGCCCATCACTGATAGTGGTAAATATGGAAGAGATTAGGAAAAGCAGTGAGAATGTTTCGACCCAATGTAGAGTTATTCTAGAGCATGATAAAGTAAGTAATCAGTGAAACAGGCCCGTATTTCAATATGCCTTCAATGGATACTCTTTACCTGGTTGTTTGCTGCAGAGACCCGTACGGGGGAAGGATAGATAGTGTTATAAAAGTACCTCAGAGACCCTGGCTACCCTCCTCCTCTTTTTTCTGATGTCCTTTTGCCAGTCTCACCTCTTCACTACTTTTGCCAAATATTGTTCTGGGCACATATAGAAGTGCTCTCCCTGAAAATCTCATTTTCCCACCTTACAACTTTTGTAGCAATCTTTTTATATATTTGGTTTCAGGTGACTGACCAGTATATATACCCACCCGTAATTCATCCCTGACTGGGAATTTTGTAAAGATTTAAAAATTGAATACTCTGTTTGTGGCAGACATTATACTTATCCTATATAGTCACCTTGAAGTATCACTTCACTTAATCGTCACAACAATCTGTAAGGCGGGGCCACTATTAGCCACCACTTGTCTGTCAGTTTGTTGTAGTATGATGACTTGCGTTTGGAATTCTGGAAGGTATGCAGCTGGTATTTCAAATAGTAACAGAGTTCCATATGGTGGACAGATTGCAGTACAACTTACAAAGTTAAACAATCAAGGAAGAATGGTCTGGCAACCTAATTCCAAAAATTGTCCAGTGAAACCCTGTGTAGGACAACTGAATGTTGTCTGATATGATGACAGAAGATGAACCCTCTAGGCGGAAAAGCACTGAAGATGCACTTCGACTGTGACAGTGAACTCCAAAGCTCAGGAAGACGACTCAGAGGCAGACAATGTACCATTCTGTTGGATCTGTGGTGACCGTGAACTGAAGCCAACTTAATGGCATCAAACAACAATATCAATTATTATACACATTTCACAAATGAGAAAATGGAGACATGGAGAGATTACAGTGGCTAGATTGAACCAAAGGAGGATTTTGAATCCAGATCTACTACTGAATTGGATAAAATCCCATAATGTTGCTTGTAAGGCTAGGGATTCAGACCCCTGATGATGTAAAACAAAGTAGAACCCACTTTGGGGAAATTTGATCCTAAAAATTCACCTATACCAATTCGGATGATTTATTTCTAAATAAGATTATGGTTATAATGAAGTGCAAGTATCCACTGGTAAGTCATTGTGAGAACTGGTGGAATTTACCTATCTATAAAGATGTTTCTGTTTTCCTTGGGCTCACAGTAGGTTCATTTAAATCCCTATAGATTTTAGGGTTTCTTAGATTACTTAGGGGTTTTAAAACCCCAGAGGCTATACTGTATTTTTCATTTGGCTATACCATCCTAGTCACTGGCTAATAACAAAGCTTCATTGAAGTATTCCTGGAAGTTCATGAGCAGATTTTGGGTCCTGGTGAACCTGAAAACCAGAACCTGGATTTCAGCAGATAATTACTTAAGAAAGATTGCTTCTCCTGCTTGTATCTAATTGTAAAAATTCAGGAACCTAATGGGGTAATTTTCCCTCCTCTTTTTCCCGTGGGCATCAAATGGCTTATCTCTGGTTGTTTCCAGAGTTGTTGTTGTCAGTGGCAATGACATTCACAAAATACTGATCTAATATGCTACAAAACTCCAGGCTATGGACTGGCAAAGAAAATTCTCCCTTAAGAAAAGAGGAAGTTGAGCTATATAAAAAGACAATGAGCTTTTCCTTAATTACTCCCTTAAAAGTATGTCTGACTTTTAAGATGAACTAAATATAGAAAAATAGCATATTTGATCCTGAAGGAGGTTTACCTCTTTCAAAGAATGCAGCAATTTTTCTTCTGGATGCGGATTATTAGTAAAATTGAGACCATGAAAAACTCCAATTATGTACTCAAGAGTGTGTGGTGTAGCCCCAACATAGCTTCTCTATGTTCTTTGCTTGAAGCCCCTTGAGGAATAAACAGGTTCTCCCAGAGCCACCATGATTTATTCTTCTCTCCTGAAAGCATTGAGTCCGCGGCTAGATGTGAGTATTTGGGAAAGATGAATGACTCCCAATGGTCATGTGCAGATTACTTAGTGCCAGTTGTCAGTTCTTTTCTCCCCAGGAAGAGGTTGAAAATGAGATTGTTGCAGACAGACTTTCTATGATAAATGGCTTTCTGAGTGAGAAATTGCTTTCAGAGCTGAACCTCCTCAAATCACCCTGAGACATGTTTTTGACTGCTGCCGCATACTTGAGAGAATGAGGCATTGGGATCTCCTGCCAAGGTCGGTCAAATAGGATGTCTCCGAGGTGGAGACAAAACAAGACAGGGACTATTGTTTCTGGAATGTACATTTGGGGAGGTCGTTTCAGCTGTTGCTAAACACCAGCACACAAGGCTCAAAACATTTCTGGTTTGTTAACAATATTACAATCTGAGAGAAGATGAGGCCAGTAAGGCTTGTGGGTAGTGGTCAATTCTGGATTGTTATGTTATTTCCATGTAAAACTGCTATTAATGAGGCAACTAATGTCAGGTATAGATTTAACAGTGTTATGTACACACAGGATGGACAGGAACACGTCATATACTGTTCTTAACTTTTTATTGAGGCTTCTGAAAAACCACAAAAATACCATACCATTCTTTTGTATTATTTGTCATTTCAAAAGAGATTAAATGCCATGTCTAAAATCTCAGAGGAATTTTAGAGTTTAACCTTTTGAGGTTCACAGATTTCCCCTTGTGCCCCAAGTTTTTGAAAGAATAGAGGCCTCCTATATTAAGATCACGTATCGCTTGGTCCCTGGTTGGTGCAAATAGTTAACACCCTCAGCTGCCAATCTAAAGGTTGAAGGTTCCACTCTACCAAGAGGTACCTTGGAATGAAACCTTGGCAGTCTATTTCAAAAGCCTCTGCCATTGAAACATATGTAGATCAAGATGGTGGCTGACCAGGACCTCTGACTTATACATCTCTGCTATAGAGCTTATGGGTTGCCCTAGTGTCTGAGTGATTCCCAGAGTCCAGCAATAAGGACTAAGCTTACAGAGCTCTAAAGAAAAGGGGGAGCCCCCCAAATATGGATGCATTTTCTACTCCATCGTTGGTCAAGCAGTTGCCACCGACAAAGGCAGCTTCTTGCAAAGCCTAACAATGGGTGCAGTATTACTTCAGGAATTGGTTGTTTCTCCAAAGTGTCTGTGAGCAGAGGAAACAGCTGTCAGTATTGCTAGGAAGCTGGAGAAAGAGAAAAAGAAATGCTTGAAAAATAAAAGAAATGACTGACATGGCTGCATGCGTATTTCTGGAAAACAGCAGTAATTTTCCTGAAGAGAATGAGGAACGAGAGAACTCACCAGAGAGACGATTGTATTACACATCTGTTCAAGAAGCCCCCAAACAGATAATAATGGGTGAAAGATCCAAAGCGAAGAAAAAGCAAAGGAGAATGGAATGGAAGACCCATCTAGCTCCACTCTAGCTAAATCCAAGGAAAAGGAATCTTTTTTTTCCAATAAAGACTTTGTGGTAGTAACATAATCTGGTGTCAACTTGCAAAGGGGTGAAGTCTAGCCTGTCAATCAAGTTGCAGCTTGATGACCTCATTTGGAAGTGCCATGGAGATCAATAGCTCACTGGAGGCCAGATACAGACACTCTCTGCTTTGTCTTCCTGCTGACAAAACAATGGAGCTATGCTAGAGCCCTGGGGCTGCAGGAGCCTTGTGGAGACCCCTGCCAGCATTGAGATGTTTCCATTACCACTGGCTCCCCAAGACTTTCCACCCACTGGCCTGTCATCTTCCTGTATTCGGCATCATTGCATGTGTTGCATGAGTTTGAAGAGGTATTTATTGATTGGTATCAGCCATATGGGCTAAAATTGGACTTATGGACTTGATCTGGACTGGGCTGGGATGTTTGCCCAATATGCAATTACTCTTTGATTTAAAGTTCCCTATCACATAGAGATGAGTGTCTATGGATTTGTTTCTCTAGTCTACCCAGCCTAACACAGACGTGGCTAGTAGTGATCTCATCACCAGGAATTTCTTCAAGAGGAAGACATCTTTCCCCCAAAATTAACCAGTTGGTGATCATGAAGAAGCAGCTAACAACCGGAGTGTCCCCCAACTCACTCCCAAAGAAGAAATTTCCTTCCAGGGGCCGCCAATCAGCAGTAAACAGAAAAGGCTGTGAACAGCAGCAATAGTAGCTCCACAAAAACAAACAAATAAAACAAGTAACCTCGGAGAGATCAGAATGGACATTCCTTGGGAGTGTAAATTCAAGGTATGCCACCGATCTTTTCGTTTGTTGTCCTGTGCTGGCTGGGGCGTTGCTGTGGTTCTGGAAGCTGTGCCACCGGAGTGTCAAATACCGCTATGGTCCCCATAGCTGTCAGGTTTCAGAGAGGATGCCTGAGCTGGATTCTGAGTCTTTGGAGGCATCCTGCCTTTCAACACTGATGAGGAGCCAGCTGTGCTTTTCTCCTGTGGTGGTCTCTAACTCCACAATCCTTTTCATTTAGTGGGAAGGTGTCTCGCACGAGATGAGTTCTTCTTCAGTGCTTACCTCTCACTCCAGGGACTTGGAGAGGGCCCCTAAGAAGAGATGTGTAAATCCATGTGCCCAGATCTAGCTTCAGAAC